AATATTAAAAAATATATTGATAAATAGATAATGTCTGTGGCTTACGCGAGTAGTACACATTTAAATAAAACCCTTTTAACGGTTTAAAACGCGAAATGTAATAGTAAAACTTAACTAAAACATGTCGCGTTTTAAACCGTTAAAAGTGTTTTAATTTAAGTATAAATAGTGATATTTTTTATACCACATAGAGATTAACGAGTTTTTACGAAAAAATAACCAATTGTAACATTATAAACTTCATTTAGACAATCTATATGATTTTATAAAAAGCATAAATGTGAATAGCGTTTGATTTTATTGAATTATCTGCATTCTATTTCAGGTCTAGTAAGGTTTATGATGAAATTATCGAGATGTCAAAGCGATTTCATGCATTTAACTGAAATTGAAATTCCTATGCCGATATTTCCTTCGGGACCCCTGAGGTATCTGTTATTACAAACACTTCATAATTGAATATACCTAATATATATTCCATTATATAATAATAACTTGCCAAATTATTGCGTTTTTATTTTAAAGGAGTAACGATTTAGATATATATAGAAACAGTTCTCCATACTTGGAACCATCGCAGTTTTGATTACAGTGATCGAAATTACTTACAAGCCATAGATCACTTTTCTGTGCCTTGCCTGGCCGAAACTATTATGTTACCCTGGGCCACGAATCCGGGACCTCTCGCTCTTAAGGCTTTGCACGTGAATTAGCCATTAGTCGAAGGTAATTATAATTTTGGTCATGACGATGATACTTAGATATCATTTAATAAACATTTTTGAGGCTCACGCGTTGTAATCGATTATTTTCCTATGAAGCGTTGCATGGAAGGGATAACTTAATAGCGATAAGGGCGCCTGTCGCACTTATCACTTCTTTTTTTTATATCTTTTTGTGAAATAAGGGTTAATTTTTAATATTATCTAAATAATAATATAATAAATATAATTTTATCCCGAATGTATCTTCTGTTCAAAGTATATGTTATAAGGGAAACTCATAACCCGAATTTTCCATTTCCATTCCAGTTTTCTTGTGTCAGCCATTTTCAGACATCTTACTTATCTCCGCAATGTCACTCGTGGGATCAAGCAAACAAACGTAGCTGTAGGTTTCACGCAAATTAAATGGCTTTGTCTCTTCGTTAACTAAACACTTTGATTACTTTTTGTACAAACGAACGAGGTTACTGTGTGCTTTCGCCTACGAAATATTTGACTTTCATCTCCCATAGTGTGCGAGAACTCATTATCTTAATTAATAATTTGGATCGCTTTATCTGTCGACCCATTGTACTTATATACTCTTTGGTTTAGAGAAAATTTCGTTGGGTTTGAAACATTACTAAATTATACTTTTTACCAATCGAAATTTATCTTATAAAAATAGTTGTAATAGTTTGATTAACTGACAACATTTTTGAACTAAATAATAAAATGTATCCGAATAGATATTTTGTTTTGACCTAGTTCTAGTCAATGGTATCACGATAGCATTCAGTAATTGTAATTGCTAGATTTGTCATTGCTTTATTAATTGCGCATGATCAAAATATCATTTGGATGGTAGAAATATAGAAATACCGTCCAGTCACGAACCAATGTCCACAGATAAAAAAGCCGTGAATTCGCGTTTCGGTTTCAGTCTGTGGGTTTCCAAAATAGGTTGAGAGCGCATTTTGTTTAGATGCTATAGGCCGGTTTATATCACCTACCATCAAGTGAACCACAACCATGGGGGGTTGTCAGTTCTCCTCTATTATTAAAGAAAAGCGAAAGTCAAAACACGATCGTCGCATAATGATCATGACATACAATAATTAAATAGTATTTCTAAAAAACTTATATCTTTTTAAATAATAAAATAATCACGATTCATATTTTTATTTTTATAGTATCATCGTCATAGATACCGTTAACGCTACGATCATCTCATCATTAAGTATTATCTACAAGTCGTAATGATATATTATATGAAAGGGATTCGAAATATTACAAAATTGAATGAGATTTTCCAATCCGTTCCGACAATTTCCTCCATGTAAGGATTAGTTCCATACAACTGATAATCTAGATTGCCGCTCTTCCAACCGGAAGCTTTACAGATTTCTATTACCTGACTATGCTCAGATATGTATCAGAGTTCACCTAGAGAAAATCAAGTCGTGACCTTATTGATTCTCATTCATTTAAATAAAACATTATAACGGTTTAAAACGCGATATAATAGTTAAACTTATTTGAAAATGATGCATGGTCACAGGGAGACAGTCTCCCCGTGACCACGGCTGCTGCAAAGCATCCGAAACGTCGGTCCGAAGTTAAAAATCATTTAATAAAATAAAAATCATTTAGTAGTAAAATCACTATATTAATATTTCCTGTAAAACGCCAATAAAAAACAAGTCTTCCTCAGGTATTCGAAAAATGTTTCCAATACAAAAAAGATTTTGCCCCAATTTGTGGGAACTTGTCAAAGTAGGACGCAGTCATTATGTTAAAACTTAGTGGCCTACATATGTGGGGATGTATCTGGAAAATTGCCAGGACAACCGGGATGTGAATGTAAGCTGAGCCAGCTCAACCGTTCTATTTGTTTCGAACAGCATAAATTTGACCACAATTATTTCTAGTTCAGTGTAACTTATAAGCCATAAACATTATATATGAGTATTAAAACAATTACAATTAATTAAATGTGGTAAAAAAAATTAAGCATATCCGTTTATTTACGGCCTTTTTTAAGAAACGCTATGAGAGAGCAAAAATTGTTCCACCTTTTTTTTATTACATCTATTCTTAATTAAAAAAAGGACGAAAAAAAAAATTTAAATTTTTTTATAAAAAAAGATGATTCTATGATTGGTATTATAATTAAATGAATTGATAAAACCTGTCCTTTGTTTAATGTCAAATGATAAGTTTGCCAATAAAATTTGAGGTTGGTTCTATACAAAAATTAAAATGTAATCCCTCTTAAATATTTTTTTTATTATAATAATTTTCATTTCTACCATTCTTTAGACGTTTGTACAAAGCTATTTTAAGAATCATTGCTCTATAGACGTGAGTACTGTCAAATTTATCATCCTATATTAGCCAAGGTAAACGGAGTGCCTTTGTAAAATGCAGTAAAAGTAATAAATAATGTGAAAGAAATAAAAATTACGTTAAAGGCAGCTAGACAGCAAAAGCATTTTTCTGCAGGTACTTATTGACTACGCTTCCGACTGACGGAAATGAGTTTTACCCCTCTCCCAAAGGACGGGGGCAAGATTGGAGGACCTTGTTATTGGACTATCAGATTTTGAATTCAGTTTTGCTTCGAATCCACCCTTAATTAACCAATACGACTCTAATGGTATCAATGTATAGCTATATATATAAACTGGTCATTTGTTCAACGTCGCCAAGTCCCAACTCATCAGTATATATTTTTTCAGAAATACATTAGACTTCGTCTAGAAATTCCATCGGATTCACAAACTACCGTCCACAGACGAAAAATCCTTGAAGTTTGATCGCGTTTCAGTCTGTGGATTCTGATTATTCAAAGCCAAAAAGGTTTACAGATCATCTTGTAATGTGAATCCCGTGCTTGTTTATCATCGTTTCTCATAAAAAATGTAAGAACAAATTAATATTACTTCGTCTAATTCTTGCATAGAAATACAGCAATGTAAAACATTTTCTTTTTGTATCGTAGAAGAATTCAATAATGATATTCATGAAATATGGTCATTGACCATATTTCATGTTTAAGCATATGCGCTATCGGACTAAGCAAAATTAAAAGTGTACCATGGACGACTGCCAAGCGCATTGGATCCAATGCCAAATCTAGATAGAATTGCCTCTTGTGACTTACGAATAGGGTAAACAAATATCCTATAAACCATGGCTGAGGTCAGACCATAATTCACAATGAATTAAACAATTTGGGGTTCACTTGATGGTTGGTGAATAGCCCAGACACACAACATCTAAACAAGATGCGTTGTCGGCCTATTTTGGCCTATCTTTGGAAAACCCCACTGATGCATTAAACTTCATAACATTTTCATCTGTGGACGGTGAGCCGGATGAAATTTCGATTTAATATCCAGATTTCCAGAAGAAGTCCAACATGTTTCCAAAAAAAACATAAACTGATTAGACATATTATGTTACTTTCGCGGGGGGGGGGGTTCGAACCCACGACCCGTTGATTAATTAGCCATACATTGCTACCATTACATTACATGATGTATCGTTTATGTGTCACAGAATTTATCGTCCGTTTGAATGGCTAATCAAAGTGGCGGATACTAGGCGCACAGTACGTAGAAGATATGGCGATGAGAAGACACAAAACGCCACTGCGCCACGAGCCCTTGAGTCGCGTGCCGTTGAGGGCCGACAGTGATTAGAGCACGCTAACAAAGCGCGAAGGGCCCTTAACCTATATGCTCCGTTTCACAGGCTACGACACTCCTACGAACTTCTGCAAGCTGGGTGTACTGGGCTTCTGAGTAGCCATCCTTTGATTATTTATTATTTATCCACTAAATTATTTTAAAACCCTTTTTTCCCTTTAAATATATCCTACGATTGAAATAATTATAAATAATTACGATTAATCTATTGTTGATTTCAGAAGAAAGATAATGCCTAAATATTTATAATCTTGACATCTTATGAGTTTTGATTTACATCAGATTGTAATTAGAAATAATCTTATATTATACTATATCAGTTAATGGAATATCTCAATCTCTCTGATAGATGCATACTCTTCTGATGCTTTTAATAATATAATCAAGGTCTTAACACAGTATATCAAAAGCTCTCATGATCCTGACGTTACGAATGGCTTAAAAGATTCGATACAAAGATACCGGAAATCACAATGATCTGGACCCAGTCGTTCCGGCACATGATTCGAGAACTAGGTCGTAACATAAACGACAGCCATAAACTGTAAATGCGGTAAATAAAACAAGAGACAATATAGCAAAAATGGCTGCTTTAGACTTTCCAGATAAAGCCGTGAAGCTGGCGCGACAAAATTCAGTTTTATTTCACAAAAGTGTAGTGCTTCTGAGTGCTTTTATGGTATCTGGAAACGACAATAAAATGGCTTTTAATAAAACGGTACTTCGAACTGGTACTGGAGCATTCAAATGCTTGGAAGTTTTGATCTCTCTGCCATGTTCTACGAGAATCAATATTCCCGGGATGCAGACGTCAGGTCGACATGTAATAAAGAGGTTATCTTCGCTCGTTTACGCCAAGAGGAAGTGAGATACGCGTTCGGTAGTAAAACGACGCGAGCTAGGTGGGACATTACGCCAAATGCCGTCGTAATTACAACCAACTCTGAAGGTGCGAGTCATTTACGCTTGTAAATTGTTCCTGAACTTGTCTAATCTTCCCCTGACTAGAGAAATACATAAGGCATCGCGTACAAACGTCTCATCAACGAACACAATACTATTATGCAATGTTTGAAAGTTTATCATGAATTAACAATGGATTCGTTAGTTAGAATTAATAGTCTTTTAGCGTTGAAAGCATAGTTTCATCAGAAGAGAACGATCGACACAAATATTATGAATTGAAAGTGTTTGTTTCTTTGTCCTTCTTTCTCGCTCAAACTTAACTAAGCTGCTTGATTTTTGGCAAACGGAAAGTCGTTCTTTTCAACCGCTATTGATCGATAAATAAACGGAGAGTCACCAATGAAGCTTAAGTGCAGACGGGGCAATTGGAACGCTCCAATATTTGCGTTTAACTGGTCCTATATTCAAGATGTTATCGATTGGTTGGTTTCTGAAAGCATTTCTCCAAATCCCCTTAGTCTTTAACAAGAATTGTTCCTATTCAAAGCTCTTATCTAGGACATTTCTCAGTCCATTAGAGAATCACTTCGCCTGCAGATTGGTTCACATTCATCAATAGGGAGTGAGTGCGGAGTATGGCTGGTTCCGCACACATTAAACTTTTATAATGCCATTAGGAGCGCGACGGTGAATGAACTCGGAGCCCTTCAAAGGCCCAAGTCCACTGGGTACTTTCAACTCTCCCGAGTGGAACTTTACATCTTGTTTAACTCTTTGCTAATGAGATTTTAACTCTGGTAATTTGTTCATGTATGGCGAAATTAAATTATTGAGTTATCGAAGTGAAATCTACTGAAGTATTTTTGAGATAAATTGAAAATTCAATTGCATAGGCATCACCTGAACGTACGTTCTGATCTAATTGATTTCGTTTGTGTTATGATAGAGGGGGACGGACAAGCACGGGCTTCACTTCATGTTGGGTGAAGTAATCCAGCCTGTCGACGTTTTTTGACTTTAGATATTCAGGAATTCACAGACTGGAACCGAAACGCGATTAAACTTCACAAATTTTAAATTGATTAGCAAAATGTTGAACCAGATGGTGATCGGCGAACCAGGTGGTGAACCCACGGCCTTTTGATTATTACTAGACCAAACATTGCTATCATCATTAGTAAAGGTAAAAGTAGCCTTATATATATTTTAATATATTATATCATACTTCTGGTGATATACTACAAATTTTTTTTGAGGTTAGTCTAATATTTGGGTTTTTTCGATTTTATATCTACCTTTTCTTTTCTCACAGATTATATTAGCTAATCATAGCTAATGATAAACATACATAATTCATACAAATTACGTAAATGACATAACAGAAACGTCAAATATAGATTCTATTGTCAAATTGTGAAAGTTACGTTAAGAACAAAATTTGTAGATTGATATTTAATGGTTACTACTTAATAAGCTTAAATAGTGCTTCACCATTGAAAGAAACTGAAACGGTTTCCCTTCATGAAATATCGTACAAATCGTCATTACTGGGGCACGAAATTGAAATCTGCGGAATAAAAAGGAACGCTAAAAACTTCCCACTAGGCACGTTACGAGTTCGAGCTTTTCTCTTCTCGTTTTTTCTCGAACCACGTTCTTCTCGTAATTTTCTTGAGGTTCGCCTTCCTTCCCATTTTATCATTTCTCTATTCTCATTGAAAGGCTTTTAATATTTCGTTTTCGTTTTTCAATGGTCTCAACATTAAAGAAAATCGAATGTAGTGCAAAATAGTTTTTATAGTGCGGCCTCATAAATATTTTGTTATCTGTTAGGTCGTTATTAAGTTATAGCTAGACTATACTGATAAACTTAAGGTTTTTCTCTAGATTAGTTTGCTGAACAACAAATTAATCTGGGGAACTTAAAATGTATTATTATCTATTCATAAACAAAAAATAACAAACAAATTAAATGTCACGGCGCATTGATGTTTCAAAAGTGTCAAGAAACGGCATAAGTGTCATCTGACATTTGACAGTGGCACTTGGATGACGTGTAGTTCACGTTTCTTCAATGTCACTCAATCGGCCTCTTCAGCGCAAAACGAATAATCCGTTGGCATCGCGCGAAAAGCAAGGCATGTTCGATGGAGTGTTTGAGTAAACCTATATGGAAAATTTTAATACCGCCCATCTTTTGTTGAAAAAATGATTAGGTCTTTGTAGCTTTCTGAGAACATGGTTTTAATTCTCCTCATCTGTCTACCCAATCACTCGGCAATCACAAATGAATCCTAAGGACGACGATAATGACACTGCCTTTAAATGTATATTAATCTATACTAATTTATAAAGCTGAAGAGTTTGTTTGTTTGTTTCTATGTTTGAATGCGCTAATCTCAGGAACTTCGGGTTTGAAATGAAAAAATCCTTTTTGTTAAAGTTTGGTTAAAGCATTTATCGAGGAAGGCTATAAAACATTGCTCTGTGACTAATACAAACGAAGATACAGCGAGAAATGTGAAAAAAAAATGGGAAAAATAATTATTTAACATGGGTTTCCTAGGCGTACGCTACGTAAACGGGTCAAGATATCCAAAAAACGATATATAATTAATATAACGACGTTTATAAGACCAATCTTAAGTTTAATTTGCAAGAACGACGGAAAGGGACGCACCGGACGTCGTAAGTAACAACTTAAGTTTATAAAAATTAAGGGGTTTTCTGCAATTTTTATGCCCAAAATAAACGAAGTCGCTGCACTGCTAGTATTAATATTTTATTTCACTGTCTATTTCGCGATTACCTTTATACCTTTCTTTCCCCCTTTTTTTTTTTTTTTTTTTTTTTTATTTTTTTTTTCCCCCCCCCCCCCTTTTTTTTTTTTTTCCCCCCCCCCGGTTCCCCCCTTTTCCTTTTTTTTTTTTTTTTTTTTTTTTTTTTTTTTTTTTTTTTTTTTTTTTTAATTTTTCATTTCAGTTAATGTATCACGACGTCTCTTAAAGAACTACCTAGAGCTAAAACAGCGTATGTAAGTAAAATATAAAAAATATGAACTTGCCATTTGGGCTTTACATACCGAAATACGCTGTCTATAGAGACCGTATTAGAAAATTCATTTCCGCGAAGCCTCAGACTATATTTGCTTTTGACGTAATACAGTGTCGGAAAATAGCACTAGCTGTCCAGCCGACCGTGACATCTACTTCAGCGATCAAACATGATAATGAGGGTCGTTTCGGAGAGTATCATTTGTGTTGAGTTCCATGAGCTGGTGGAAAATCATCGTCAATTTCTATCAGACAGCGTAGATGAATGAATTTATGTGCTTAGTTCCTATTTTAGATGGGTATTGTCTGCAGTTTACGAGAGTAGTAGTAAAAAAAATCAATTTTAACTGTTTTAAACGCGAATTATATAAGCTTATTTAGTTTATGTTAACTACGAGCAGTATACATTTAAATTTAACAATTTTAACGATTCAGAACGTGGAATGTATTGACTTATTTACAATTCATTTTAACTTCGGCTCGATGTTTCAGATGCTTTTAAGCAACCGACCTAAAATAAATCAACTAATACGTTTTAAGCAGTTACAAATGTTTACACTGACACTTAAATTATAAAACGCATAACAACGCTTAAAATAACATGTGAAAATAGCCTGCGGCATCACACCCTTTGTGGACGTAAGGGAAAATGAAATTCTTCAGCCAAATTTGCTGCGGAATTTTTAAATTGGGGCGCGAAATAAACAAGTAATAGAATGTCAAGAGTAAATTATTCAACATCAATTCACCCTTGAAGACATCCCCGAAATTCATTTTTATCCCAGAAAAATCCACCGGATTAATTTCGCTAAAGCTTATCTTTGTTTTGTTTAGAGTTGGGATAATGTTACTTTTAGATAGAAAATGAAGACGAGAAAAGATTTTAAATTTAGGCAACTGAAATCATTTATTATTTCGAAGTAGTGGTGTTATTTAGAGTGCTTTAAAATCTTAGCTGTAATGATTACTAGCGACCCGCCCCGGCTTCGCTCAGTTGCAATTCTGATACTAAATATACTACAGAAAAACTTTGAACGATGCACTTCATGTGCTACCTTCCTCTTGATTCACTCTATCTATTTCAAAAAAATCCCTTGCGTAGTTTTAAAGATTTAAGCGCACATGGGGACAGAAAAAGCGACATTGTTTTATATTAAGTAGTGATGATTCATATTAAACATCGTTTCAGTTACAACAATGATTTTCAGAAATAAGCGCTGAATTACAAGTTCAATAACAGTTTGAGAAACCAGGAAACGTGTATGATAGAATGGTTCTTCATAAAAAAAAATTAAAAATTGTCAACGGCAATAACTGTCTATCATTTTTGTTTAACTCGTAATAACAATGGGACGCGAACGACGTCGTGGTTACAGCTATGCTTTATAAAACTGAGAAGGTTGTTTTTGCAAAAATAAAATCAATAATAAATTTAAAAAAAATTATGACTCGGGCAGGACTTGAACCGGCATTCACAGCCTTATGTGCTGTTACCAATTGAGCTACTGACTCCTACTGCACCTCGCGCGCAATGTAACTTCATTTGCGCATTGAGATTCAATGTCTTATGCTTTGCACGTTTAAAAAATAATTGAAGATGATATTACACAATTTTAATGTTTCTAAACTTTCATATTTTTCACATAATATTGCACTAGATGGCACTATACGAATTAAAAATCAATAATGAAATAACTCATCCACGCGGACAACAGCTAAGTGAAATTCAATAAATAAGTTTGAACACGACAAAGGAGAAACCATTAAGCCAATAGTTCCGAACAGAAGTCCTATTCTTTCCCACAATAAAGACAAAATAAGGATTGTTTAGAGGGAAATAGAGCAGAATGGTCATTTCATGCTCCATTGGCCGCCTCTGGGGCAATTAGCAGCGAGTGATATGTGGAGT